TATTATGAAATATTATGAAGTATCATGAAATATAAGATGTATTATTCCGTTCGGTACAGTACAATACAATCCAATACCATGTATACGTATATAGTTTGTACAATGTCGAGAGAGAGAGATATATATATATATAAACGTAAAATGTATGATAAAACAATATTTGTAATGTACAGTAATATATTTGCATTATATTTTATATATTATATATATATGCATATTATAAACACCATGTATACGTACACATCGTATTTAGAATATGTATATCATATAATAGATGTAAGATATATAAATATCTAAATGTAAAAATACGATATTAACATATTATTAATCTATTATATACTGTGTTCAAAGCATATTCTTCAAATCAGTCCGTTGACTTGGGCCACCGTCCTGGAGTAAGCCGCCTGTGCTACCTCTACTTGCTGAGCTCGAGCTCAGTAGCCGTGCTGGCTGCATCTTGCAGGGCTGGCACTCCAAGCTCCGGGCTCTGGGGCTGCTTTGTTTCAAGGAAAACTAGAGGTTGATACAGGTTGCCTTGATCTTGGATTCATATTCAAACGACCTTCCCAAACTTGCATAAACTGATACAAAGCTACTCAAGGAAATCTCGCAGAGTCTGGAAGAACTGGTGCCCTTTTTCCCGAATGCGTAGCAAGGGTTCCCGTTTCACTCTGGGGGTCTGGGGGTTGAGGGTGTGTTCGCTAGAGCTCGCCTAACCGTTCGCAACCGTCTGCAACCGTCCGCAACCGTTCGCGTGATGGCCGTATGGCCGTGCCTATGGTAAGTTCTGCAAAAGGGGTCATTTTTGGAGGTTTCAAACGTCGCGTTGCTTCGTTTCGCGTGGCAGGCATGGCACTTTGTGACATTCAGACGTGTTTTGTAACGTGTCGAAAGTCGTTTTGTGTGGCCGGCGCAATACTTTTGCGACTTTTCCAGAAGATGCGTTGCAGTTTTCGTGGCAGGCGCAACACTTTGGACGTGTCCATCGTCATTTTGCGTGGCAGGCGCAGCATGTCGTGTTGCGTGTTTTTTGCAAATCGCATTGGCAGGGCTGCGTCAAGTGGCGACAAGGTGCAAATTCCGTGGCAGGCGTGGCATTTTGTGAGATGTGATGAAAATTGACGGAAGCTTCGCACGAAACATCGATTTCGAGGTAGCAAATTTAGAGGTAGTTCCTAAGAAAACTCGTAGGAAAACGTCGATTTTGAAGCTACAAAGTATGAAAATAGTTTCTGGTTTTCCTGTGGCCTCGCCGTGTCTATGGGGGAAGCTGCAAAACCTCTCCTTTTCGAAGGTTTCCAAGCAGGTTGTAATGTTGTTTTGCGTGGCAGGCGCGGCACTTTGTGACATTATACAACCTGTTTGATAACGTGTCGAAAGTCGTTTTGTGTGGCAGGCGCAATACGCTTGTGTCGTTTTCACAAGATGAGTTGCAATTTTCGTGGCCGGCGCAGCATTTTGGCAATCTTTGTCGTCATTTTGCGTGGCAGGCGCAGCACTCCAGACTCCACACTGCACACTCCACCCTCTACACTCCACCCTTGACACTTCACACTCCACACTTTACATTCCACACTTGACACTCTACAACCAACACTCTACACTTTAAACTCTACACTTTTCACTCCAAACTTGACACTTTACACTCCACACTCTATACTTTACACTCCACACTCTACACTCAACACTTTACACTTTACACTCCACACTGTGCACTCCACACTTTACACTCTACACTTTACACCCTACACTTTACACTCCACACTCCACACTCGACACCTTACACTCCACACTCTACACTTTACACTTTACACTCCACACTCCGCACTTTACACTCCACACTGTGCACTCCAGACTTTACACCCCACACTGTACACTCCAGGAGTGTACACTCCCCACTTTACACTTTACACTCCACACTTTACACTTTACACTCCACACTTTACACTCCACACTCCACACTTTACACTCCACGCTCCACATTCCACACTTTACACTTTCCACTTCACACTCTACACTCTACACGCGACACTCCCCACTTTACACTTTACACTACACACTTTACAGTCTACACTCCACACCCCACAATTTACACTCCACACTTTACACTCCACACTCCACACTCTACACTTTACACTTTACACTCCACACTTTACACTGTAAACTCCACACTTTACACTCCTCACTCCACACTCTACACTTTACTCTCCACACTTCACACTCCACACTTTCCACTCCACACTCCGCACTCCACACTCTACACTACACACTCTACACTTTACCCACTGCACACCCTACACTCCACACTTTACACTCCACACACCTTACTTTACACCCCACACTCCACACTCCACACTCTACACTCCACCACACTCTACACTTTACATACTCCACACTCCTCTCTCCACACTCCACACTTTACACTTTACAGTCCACACTTTGCACTCCACACTCCTTACTTTACACTCCGCACTCCACACTCCACACTCTACACTTTCCACTCCACACTCCACACTCCACACTCTACACTTTACACTTTACACTCCACACTACACACTCTACACCTTACACTCTACACTTTACACTCTACACTTTACACTCTATACTCTACACTTTACACTTTACATTTTACAATGCTCACTCCACACTTTACACTCCACTTTCCACACTTTACACTCTACACTTTACACTCCACACTTTACACTCTACACTCCACACTTTACACTTGACACTGTACACTCCTCACTCCACATTCCACACTTTACACTCCTCACTCCACGCTGCACACTCTACACTCCACATTCCACACTCCAAACTCCACACTCTACACTTCACACACTCCACTCTCCACACTCCACACTTTAACACTCCACAATCCATACTTTACACTCCACACTCCACACTCCACACTCTACACTTTCCACTCCACAGTCCAGACTCCACACTTTACACTCCACACTCTGCACTTTACACTCCACACTCTACACTTTACACTTTACGCTCCACACTCCACACTTTACACTTTATACTTGACACTCCACACTTTACACTCCATACTTTACACTCCAGACTCTACATTCCACACTCGACACTTAGCACGCCACCTTCTTCCATATTCCAGTCTACGGTGTGCTGGTATGGTAACAGGGGAAAAATGTACAAGACTGTTCAAATAAACTGTTTCAGAAAAGTGTTCTGCGTGACTGCATTTCCATGTGTTTCGACATCTGTACCATGAACATACGTGTGAGCATTCGGGTTCGTGGGCTGCATCTTGTTTTTGAAGAGTGTCCACAGCTTGGACAACAAGACAGCAAGATGCAGCCGCTCTGCGTGGCGAAAAACCGGGCCCTGACCCCGCAGTGACAGAGTCCCGAGGTTCAAGACGGGAGATCTGGGGCGTCGAACCAACCTGATGTTCACCCTGCAGTTGACCCACTTTACCTGCGGTTTTCATGCGAGCTTACCTCGGCAAAAAGTCCAACCCATAAGCCCACTCTTGTAATTTCTTGCATGCTACTATCTTGACATTTGGATCTAGTTGGTGACTTTCCTGTGGATTAATTCAGTTCTTTTGGCAAACCGTAAGCAATTGATAGCTTTCTGTTCTTCTATTGGTTCACTGGAGCATTCCCATCCTGACTCGTGCTTGGGGCCGGAGTCAGGTGCGTTTCCAGCCAAGGAAAGGTCTCAGAACTGCGCTCAAAATTGGGCCACCAATCGCCCCACAAAATTGGTCAGTCATGTTTAGTATGTGGTCCACCCGTTTTGGGGTTTGATAATTCTGCCCCATAGCTATGAGGTAAACTAAAAAAACATAATAAACATAAGCCATCCTCAATCTTATCAGAAAACAGCGCACGGGTATATTTATCGTCCCTCTGTGATGAACAGCTGCGTCTTCTTCAGATTATCTGCACATTTGATGTTACCACGTCGGAATGATAATGCAAGGGTGGATAAGGGTGCTATTTTTTGGAGAACGTTCCCTCTGGAATCTATCACCTGCCTTTCTGAATCCAAGCTCCATTAAAATGACTGCGAAGAAAATCCGTTTGGATCCTCGCCACCAGAGCAGGATGCGCTCGGGCCCTTGGGCCTTGAGAAGAGTACTTTGAAGCAGGTCTGGGGTGGCATCAGGTTTGAGGTGACAAAATCATTTGGAAAGCTATCCATCTGAAAAAGGACACGAATACCATGCCCTAATTTTTGATTCTTAGTGTTGGCATATTCTGGCTGTTCCAATGGCCATTTTGGGGCACCATGTCACTTCAGTTGATCCATGACTGCCACTGTGCATCGATGAAAAGCCCCAGGGACCCAAGCGCAAACTCCTCCAGCCATTTCGTTACCCAGGCACCAGGCGAATCACAGATTCAAAGCATGATGCCAAAGACTCCGAGAGAATGGGAAAGATCGGTTGACTTAATGGAATTGGATAGCAAAAGGCTGCATCCGAAAAAAAAATCGGCTGCGATTTCCACATCGGAGCCATGTCGAATGGCACTAGAAGATTGTTTTTCACGGTTTTCCGCCTTCGATTCCTTGCAAGTCCAGAGCTTCGGGTGGATCTATATAGGGATTATTTTTTTTAAGGTGTAGTAAGGTAGGGATTAATTTTATTTTAGGCGTAGGGTCTATTCAGGGTTTATGTAGGATCGGCAAGTTTGTCCATAAGATTGGTTTAAGGTGTTTTTCAGGGGCTACCAGTTGGAATCCTTGGATTGTAATCAAACCTGGCTAGGAAATCCCCGAACGAGCCATGGAGGCTTATAGCTGGGAAAACCATCGAACTCAATGGAAGATGTTCCGTTGACAGCTCTTTTTGAGCTTCCCAGTCACATAAACCACTTCAGGTTTTGAAATCATACCCTTGAGTAGGTATAGTACCCAAATATCCCTTTCTTTGAGAAATCCCGAACCTGGTTCCGGTCAAGTTTCCAGAAAATCAAAGGGGCACAGGGCAATCTGAGGACACTTAAGCCCAACTTTGACATATCTTATCCCTCCTCTCGTGTCACAGCTTTGATTTCATCGGTATCGCTGTCAGACCAAAAGCCTGCAGGCGCATCCGTCCTTGGCATCTTGGCATGGGGATCTGCGCTATGCATCTCCTTATTAACACAGATTGTGTTCCCAACTTGGTTGTGGATATCAGGGACGTCCCTCCATGACTATCCAGGAGATTGCAAGTAGCCAGCCCCGGTTCTTGGCGGTTCATCTCGGTCTTTGGCATTTTTGTCAACATTTCTCACTTGCACTCACATCTTGATGCTTATTCGTGAAAACACCATTTTTCTTGCTTAGATCATGTTTTTTGGTTGCACCACAATCAATGCTTGTTGATTCCCTCTTTTTCGGCGAAGTTTTTGGTTGGTTTCCTTGTTTGGAGGGTGAAAACTCTTTGTTGTTATTTTTTGGTGCAAAAATCCTCACTTTTGGGCTGCATCATGCTCCATCCACCTTCCCGACAATCCGAGAGTCTGGGTCACTTGACCGCTCAGCTTGGGAATCACCTAGCACCACTGAGGTTTTTCCGAGTTTTGCGGGTCAAATTTGGTCGTTTGTTTGGCCTTAAAACCCCCTGCAATTTCGATGACATATTCGCAGCTGTTCCCAGTTTCCGTTTATACATGTTTTGTACTGTATATTCTGCACTGTGCTTGGCTATGATTTATAGCCGCAATTCTGCTGGCTTAGCCGTCCAATTTCGAGGCTAATCATTTTGACCATTTTTGAGCCAGTTGCAAATGATGCCGGAAATATGGGCCGATCTTGCGCATTGGGGGTCGGGCAGCTGCAGTCTTGGAGTTTTTGTCAGCCTTGGTGCTTTCAAACTTGGGCATTTCCAAATCAATGGGATTCTATGGTTGTTGCCACCAAAGTAAAAACAACCATAAATCATCCACTTGGGTTTGTAAATTGACCAACCATGAAAGCCGCCATATTGAGGAAAGTCTTTGGATCATTCACTCTGTCACACGTCCAACCGGTACAAAAAAAAATCACGTCACCGACTCACCGACAATAGCGCGAAAATATGATGCCTTTCGGCAAAAACGTGCCCGGTGACTCCAAGACCAACAGCCCATACATATACATCCCGTCGGGGGAAAACCGCGCCAGCAGTTTTGAGCGTTTTGAAAAAATGCCGTTTTCGCCATAGCGAAACTATTGATTCATTCCACGAAAAAGGCTTAAAGTTCCCTGGGAATTTGAAATGCATTTTTGATGATGTCCTGTAATTTACAGGGAACTTGAAAACTCGCGCGATGTTTTCCTCCTCTCACATCGCCATGCGCTTCTTCAAAGAGCGACCAGTGACCTCCAAAAGGTTTTTTGATTTGGAGTTCATCCAACGCCATTGCCACACCCTGATGTTTCGCATCAGTTTTGGGTTCACATGGCTGTTGACTCTGGTCGCAAGACTACATGGTATTTATGAAACATAGCACTCTGATTGTATGAAAAGCTAATCACAACATGAAACTCAGTGTCGACAAGTTACAAGGTCTTGTTCCTGTTTTACATCTGTATCAACATCTGCGCGCATCCTACAATTAAGATGCCAGCAAGGGGAAACCCAGACGTGACGCAGCATGTGCATGTGACGCAAGTTAACATGAACGTTAACACACCCCACCCCACCCAACCCAAGACGTGACGTAGCATGTGCATGTGACGCAAGTTAAACATGAACGTTAACACACCCCACCCAACCCAACCCAAGACGGGACGTAGCATGTGCATGTGACGCAAGTTAACATGAACGTTAACACACCCCATCCCCCCGACCCAGTAACATAAGCGTGTTTTCAAAAACGTGCACGACTACTGGCGCAGTTTTCCCCCCGCTGGCATACACATTCTATCATTCCATGTTCGAAGATGGAATGATGCAAAACGCGATATGAGATTGGGAACCCAGTACTATCATATATTTATTCTTATAATATTTTTCTGTACGTACACAATATGTACACAATATATCACAATATGAATATCAACATAATATAATATGTGTGTGTTAAATGATAGTAACCCCCAAATTGAGTATGGTTTCCACTCAACCCAAAGATACAGTATATAACTTCATACTTGGGGCAACAATGCAGACGCTGGGCCCCCCAAGCTTGTTTGCCCTTGGGCTGGAGCCGCCTCTTGTGCATGAGCTTTTGCGCGGAGGTTTCCGGGTCTGGAGAGACCAGCAGTGCGGGCTCATCCTTTTCCTAGGCCAAGAGATTGAAGTGGAACTGGAAAATTCAAGTCAACTGCGAAGTTTGGGATTTCAAGACTTTGGGTGGGTTTAACATTAAGCGGGCCCAAATAGGGAGCTCACCCGTCCAAATGCAGATTGCACCCATCAAAACATAGCGATTTCCAAGTATAACGATGCAGATTTCATTCATGAACTCATGAAACAAAAGAGTTAAACAACGGCACTTGATGACTTCATCAAATTGGGTGTTTCACCTCAAGAAAAGATAATTAGCCACGCCAACAACAGCTGTCCAGTCAACTGACAGAGGAAAATCCTGACTGTTCTGCCTGGAACACATCCTCTCTGGGTCCAATCTCTGCCGCGTTGGTGAGGCAATTTCTTTCCACATCTCCATCGCCATCATCACAACCACCACCATCGCCATCATCATCATCATCATCATCATCATCATAGCCATCATCATGAAACAAAAAGAACGATCATATTCACTACTCACAAGTAATGATAACAAAAACAGATGACAACGATAAAAACGACGTCAAGCTACCGATATTGCGGAACAATACAAAGTATCATCATCGTCACCGTCACACCCACCATCACAACCATCATCCTGAATCAACAACGACAACGACGACAACAACAACAACAACAACAACAACAACAGCAACAACAACAGCAACAACAACAACGACGACAACGACGACAACAACAACAACAACAACAACAATCGCAACAGTTTAAAAAATAACAATACTGGTGCCAATAATGGTGACAATAATAATAAGAATAAAAATCATCATGATAATATATATATATATATATGTGTGTGTGTAAATATACAAAACAATATAACAACAATAAAAATAATAATGCAAACGAAAAAACGAAACAATAAAAGCAACAAAAATGATCATCACATCGTCTCTTCCACACCCAGATCACCCCGCCAACAAACCTCAGGGCCCAGGCCCAGGTCACCGATCTCGTCCTCCAAAAAAATCCGCTGGTTGCTGAACGATTTTGGAGCTAATTATCGCTATGACGTTATGACTGTCATGACTCATTTTCATCTAATCTAATGGATGCAGGTCTGTTGAAATGCGACAGGTAGACATTTGTAAGCTGCGAGATGCAGTGATGGAGCTGTTGTAGCCCACGCACAATGTCACAAGGTCCCCGAATTCTCCAGAAGTTCGTGGAGAAAATCCCAAGCTGAACAAATCTCCGAGCTGAGGAACAGAAGAACACCAAGACAGCAGTTCCATTCTCTGCTGAAAGGCAGCTGTTGTGCTCTCACCTGGCAGCAGGGCAGATGCAACGAGTGGCACTGAATCATCAAGGCTGATGGCATTGAAATTCAAGCTCAAAGTGATAAATCATGACAAATCAATATAAATCATAACGAGAAGCAGGGTGCATCAGCAACATGTTTTTTTCACTTATGAGTCTGCCGATTGCTGCGGCAGGCTTCAAGCATTGGCCTCTCAAATGCCTCTCACAGGCTCCTCAAGGATTGTACTTGAATGTCAACTTTGTCTCACACTTGCAAATAGACCGAACTCCGTTGTCGAATGTAGACAGCCCAGCACATTTCTCAGACGGACCGGACAGTGCCCGGATCCCTTTCTTTAGAGTAAGGGACCCGTCTGCCAAACCAGGTCTGCCAAGTGTATTGGCTGTAAAAAGGGAGCGCTCAATTTCACAAGTTGCACTCACGTTCCACTCATTCGAAATAGTGAGGAAGCTCGCATACGGTCTTGGGGAATATGTCACATACTCCCCAAGACCGTATCCGGCTGTATTGCTGACAACCCGAACTGATGTAGCCACACCATTCGGGTCTCCACATAAGAGCCCGCTTATGCAACCAGTAACTGTTCCAGGGGAGTTGCCATTTATTGTCTCATTGAGATTCTCGAAGGCAAAGGTGAAATTGCCACTGGGCGGGGCAATCTGGCACAGAAGGAAGCAAGCAAGGGTCAGGATCAGGGTGGCGACGACGATCCAATGCTTCTTTGATCTTCTTGATCTTCCAAATTTTCCATGGGAGCCCTTCATTGCCTTGTAGGTCTTGTAGAAGTTCTGGAGTGTTGTTTGGTACCAGTGTGTCATCCCTCACCCACGTGCCATCCTCATAGATAGTATCCACCTCCATGGTGCCGTTGTTGAACGTCATCATAGCCTGTCCGATTGTCTTCTTGGGATCACCTTGACTTTTGGCAATTTTCTTCACTTGGAGGGCGGCGAATGCATCCGAAGCCTGGGCTCCAGACTCCAGACGCACACAATCCTCCTTGCAAGCCTCCTCAGACATCGCGGGGTAAAACCAATGACGCTGCGGGTGCTCCTTGCTCCGGAGCACCCGCAGCTTCATTGGTTTTACCCAATCGCTGAAGGGAGAAAACTCTAAAATATGAATGTCTCGCAGATCGCTTGTGGAGCCGCAGTTACAACGATGCTTGAGCGGGGCAATCTGGCACAGAAGGAAGCAAGCAAGGGTCAGGATCAGGGTGGCGACGACGATCCAATGCTTCTTTGATCTTCTTGATCTTCCAAATTTTCCATGGGAGCCTTTCATTGCCTTGTAGGTCTTGTAGAAGTTCTGGAGTGTTGTTTGGTACCAGTGTGTCATCCCTCACCCACGTGCCATCCTCATAGATAGTATCCACCTCCATGGTGCCGTTGTTGAACGTCATCATAGCCTGTCCGATTGTCTTCTTGGGATCACCTTGACTTTTGGCAATTTTCTTCACTTGGAGGGCGGCGAATGCATCCGAAGCCTGGGCTCCAGACTCCAGACGCACACAATCCTCCTTGCAAGCCTCCTCAGACATCGCGGGGTAAAACCAATGACGCTGCGGGTGCTCCTTGCTCCGGAGCACCCGCAGCTTCATTGGTTTTACCCAATCGCTGAAGGGAGAAAACTCTAAAATATGAATGTCTCGCAGATCGCTTGTGGAGCCGCAGTTACAACGATGCTTGAGCGGGGCAATCTGGCACAGAAGGAAGCAAGCAAGGGTCAGGATCAGGGTGGCGACGACGATCCAATGCTTCTTTGATCTTCTTGATCTTCCAAATTTTCCATGGGAGCCCTTCATTGCCTTGTAGGTCTTGTAGAAGTTCTGGAGTGTTGTTTGGTACCAGTGTGTCATCCCTCACCCACGTGCCATCCTCATAGATAGTATCCACCTCCATGGTGCCGTTGTTGAACGTCATCATAGCCTGTCCGATTGTCTTCTTGGGATCACCTTGACTTTTGGCAATTTTCTTCACTTGGAGGGCGGCGAATGCATCCGAAGCCTGGGCTCCAGACTCCAGACGCACACAATCCTCCTTGCAAGCCTCCTCAGACATCGCGGGGTAAAACCAATGACGCTGCGGGTGCTCCTTGCTCCGGAGCACCCGCAGCTTCATTGGTTTTACCCTATCGCTGAAGGGAGAAAACTCTAAAATATGAATGTCTCGCAGATCGCTTGTGGAGCCGCAGTTACAACGATGCTTGAGCGGGGCAATCTGGCACAGAAGGAAGCAAGCAAGGGTCAGGATCAGGGTGGCGACGACGATCCAATGCTTCTTTAATCTTCTTGATCTTCCAAATTTTCCATGGGAGCCTTTCATTGCCTTGTAGGTCTTGTAGAAGTTCTGGAGTGTTGTTTGGTACCAGTGTGTCATCCCTCACCCACGTGCCATCCTCATAGATAAAGTATCCACCTCCATGGTGCCGTTGTCGAACGTCATCATAGCCTGTCCGATTGTCTTCTTGGGATCACCTTGACTTTTGGCAATTTTCTTCACTTGGAGGGCGGCGAATGCATCCGAAGCCTGGGCTCCAGACTCCAGACGCACACAATCCTCCTTGCAAGCCTCCTCAGACATCGCGGGGTAAAACCAATGACGCTGCGGGTGCTCCTTGCTCCGGAGCACCCGCAGCTTCATTGGTTTTACCCAATCGCTGAAGGGAGAAAACTCTAAAATATGAATGTCTCGCAGATCGCTTGTGGAGCCGCAGTTACAACGATGCTTGAGCCAGCGCAACGCAGAAGTCCCAACAGCTCATCACACAGCTCAAAACAGCTCCTGCCGAGCGACACTACACTACAGACACTTCGCACGTGAAATGGTCCATGATGTCCATGCACAAGTCAGACAGAAAGTCAGAAGATCAATGCATCGCACTGTCAGTGAAAAGTCAAAGGATGTGAAAGGTAAATGGCACACCTGCCAACAAATCCTGCCTGCCCCATCCACCGGTTTATCGGTTTCAAATCTTGTCCAGCCTCTTGTTTGATGTTGCCATTGTCCACGAAGCAGCGTGGGGCAACGGCTGGGTTAAAAAAACTCGGTAATCCCCTTGCTAGAATACTCAGTAAGTGCATAGATGTGCATAGTATCTCTGTGAACATCTTTCAATGGTTCTTGTTTTTGGTAAGGACCCCGCGAGGGCGTCGCGGAGTGTTGTCGTTTTTTCATGTTTACGTCGTTTTCGAAGCATCCATTTCATTCCACATTCTACACTGTTTTCTTGCGCGCCGTTGCATTTTCTGCGCTTTTTGCTGTGTTTCGTGACGCGCTTGCGGTGATAGTTGCGTGTTCGCATGCCAGGCTTTGTTCCGGGGGGTGGGATGGGGTGGGGGGGGGGTGTGTTGGGGGGGGCTAATAACGTTCTTGTTTATTAACGTTCCTGCATCTTCGTTCTCGACACGCTTTTCACTCTTGCAAGTCACGGTTTGACACGCGGTCGATGTTTCGGTTTTGATATGTTGACGTTGGTGTCCGGTGGCGTGTGGGCATGGGGTTGGGTTTGGGGGGGATTAGAACGTTCACGTTAACCAGCGTACTTGCAACTACTTCCTTACACGCATTTCTTCTTTGCATTTCATATCATCATCATCATCTTCAACATCATCATCATTATCAACATCATCATCATCATCATCATCACCATCATCATCATCAACATCATCATCATCATCAATTACTTCGGTGCCAACATGATCACCATCATTATCGACATCATCATTATCATCATCATGATCAACATTCTCGTCATCATTATCATCATCAACATCAACAACATGATTATCAACATGATCATCAACATGATCATCATCATCATCATCATCAATTACTTCGGTGAGGTTAAAAAAAAAGTTACTTCGGAGACCCCTCTTGGAAGATGCACGTTTAAAAAAAAAAAAACGCGAAATGCAGGTTTTAAAGGCGTTGTGCGTTAAAAAAACGCGCGACGCCTAGAAGGGGACCTTCCCTTGTTTTTGCTTTATTTGGTTGTTGGGATTTTTGGTGCACTATCATGCAGAAAGGGGTGTAAGATATTATAAGATTCCGGTCATTTTTTTTGTGTTGGTATCTTTTGAGGATCTTATAAAATGACACCAAACCAAAGCATAGAAAACAGCCTGTGAGAAAACAACCAGAGCCCATAACTGTAGTCATTTTCTTGTAGATGCGTGGGGTGGGGGTTCAGGAACTGCGGCTATCCGGCCCCGGTGTCACCTCCAAATCGACCCATCACCCCGCTCCTTGCAGCCTTCTTACCCCTAACCTGCCGCGAGCCCAACTGGCGGTTGGAGAAAGACTTCTACAATGTCGACTGCAAGATTCGTTTCTTATCTCAAATTCTCATGGAAAACACACTTCGAAACATTCAAACACCAGCTGAAGACGTGAACAAAGATTCAAGGTTTGTGGTTTCAGTTACTATATACATCCCATGTTTTGTTTTGTTCCCCACCTGCCAGGTGAGGGTTGTTAGATTTTATCCCAGTTGTTCTCCTCCTCTTCCTCCTCGGCTAGCTCTCCTCCTCCTTATCCTCCTCCTTCTCCTCCTCCGCCTCCTCCTCTTCCTCCTCCTCCAGTTTCTCCTCGACCATGTCTGCATCAACTTCCACCTTCACTTCCGCCTTGCCAACTCTTCCCCAAGCTCTTCGCCAACTTCCCAGCTCAGTGGGCACCGCTGGACCTCAACCTGGGACCTGCCCAGCTCCGTGTGCACCGCTGGACCTCAACCTGGGACCTGCCCAGCTCAGTGTGCACCGCTGGACCTCAACCTGGGACCTTCCCAGCTCAGTGTGCACTGCTGGACCTCAACCTGGGACCTGCCCAGCTCAGTGTGCACCGCTGGACCTCAACGGCCAGATGGAATGCCAGAAGATATGCCAGGTAGAATGCCAGAAGATATGCCAGATAGAATGCCAGATGGAATGCCAGAAGATATGCCAGAAGATATGCCAGGTCGAATGCCAGAAGCTATGCCAGATAGAATGCCAGATAGAATGCCAGAAGATGTGTCAGATAGAATGCCAGAAGATTTGCCAGTAACAAAATGTATAAATGTCATGATGGGGATCACACGAAGTAAAGTAATCGTTCTGTGCTACACACCCATTTTAAGTAGGGTTACACCCCCAGCCTTCTTGGGACTCGGCAGAGCGACCGCGACCCCCTGCGGATTTCTTGTTGTGTGCAGAGACGGGCACAAAGAAACGTTGGAGAAACGGGGCTATCACGAATTGAACACGTAATAGCACATATCTCTATGTAAAACATGTATATATATATTGTATTATACTGTATAACATATGATGATATAATGATGCGTTTCACGTAATTAAGATGAGATGTCATCAGCAACAGCAGCACTTCATGATATTTATAGGCATGGGCATGGGTGCAAAAAATCTTTGACCAGAGAGAAAATGGATAAGATGATCATTGATTGTATTAAAAGATACCTGTACCAGTTCGCGTGGTCCGGTTGGCACATGTGCTTTCTAGTAGAAAATGTAGGCAGTATAAATTAGGGACCCAAGAAAATCTATCAACAGACATCAAAAAAAATTGGTATCCTAGAAAAATGGCCACGTATAAGAAGTGCAGTTTAGAAACTATGTTTAGCATTTTCCTTGGAAAAACACCGCCGTACTTGAATTGCATATTCTTGTAAATACGATATGAAATATGTTGTAAACCACTTCAAGTTACTGCTACCCTTTTTCTAGAGCCACATATGCTCACATTATGCTTCTGGATTTTGGGCACCTGAACTATCCAGAAAATCAGCATCTTACGACTCAGAGGTCTCCAAAAGTTGTTCTGTAGAAAATGGGCGAAAGCATCATTTATATAAGCAAATTCGTGCTTTTCGAACTGTAGAAAATCCATCCTCTATAGGGGGGTTAACCCCCGTGAAATCCTAAGGGAAACTCATACCCGTATAACAAGTCTCCGCGGACTATCTGAGATATGACCCATATACCCTTCAGCTGTGCACAATGTGCAGGCCGTTAAGGAGTCTATGAACTGCAAAACGATGCAGTTTGAAAAAAGTTCCAAGATTGCCATCGGTCCCATATGCCATGTGAGTTGGGGAATGAATTGCAACGTAAGGGGGGGGCAAACCGGCTGGACTGCGGACTGGGTCAGTGAAATGTGTCAACCCAAAATGACAAAACAGGTACCCCCAAAGGCTCCAAATCTCATGATTCTCATGTATAGTTATAATTTTCTCAGTAAGATTGCCATCCATGGGGGGGGTTCATTTCTTTACCCATCATGACCAAAGGACGTGGCCCAAGCATGGCAGCACTTCCCAGCACAAGTCCTTGGGTGCAGCTGCAAGAGGGTCCCTTGGTGTACCAGGCAAGAAATGGATGGTTCCAACGTCCCAAGAAAATTGGTTTCTTAGTCAACTGGGTATCATCTTACCCACACAGGAATGCAAAAGCAAAAAAAAATCCGCCGGCCTGCCGGCGTGTCTTGTGGATCTTGCTTGTTCGTAGTTGTACTGTTTGTTTTGTCTTTGGTCTTTGTCTAGACTTTCCCCTGGGCGCGGATTTTTAAACTTGTCTAACTTGAACCCCCCCCCCCCCCCCCCCGGTTTCAACATGATTCGGTTTCAACTCAAACCCCGCTTTACGCAAAACCCCTGTTTTGTGTCTCCTCTTCGTGTTTTTCCTCTGCGTCTTCGACTCTGCCCACGCCTCGCGCAACATGCGCATGTTCTTTTTTGCTCTCATTTCCATTGTGGTGCTCGCGATCGGCTTGCTCTGTCATTCTTACACCTTCATACCTTCTACGTTCCTATACCTCATACAGGTGGCCTGTCAATCCACTTGCTTTTGTGCAGAACACCATTTACACGCGCAACCTTTCTATGCATGCCTTTTCCAAAAACCTTGGTTCACACACTGCTTCGGTTTAATTTCAAACCCTGGTTTACGCAAACACCATGCTTTGTGTAAAAGCGCGTCTTCCTACCAAACAAAACGCTGATTCACAGAAAACAACGTGTTTTAAGTGTTTCACAGAAACACCATGTTTTACACAAACATCTAGAAAAATCATGTTCTTTCTTCGCCCTTCTACCCTGGCTGCTGCTATGCTGAGCTGCTCGCACTTGCACTTTATCTCCTCCTATGTCCTGTCTCTGCTATACATGTTTGAGACGCCAAAATCTTTTCAGTTGCATCCATGGCCCCAAATCTGCACCCCTATCCTGACTGCTGCTACGCTTTACTGTATGCACTTGCACTTTATCTCTCCTATGTCATGTCTCTGCTTTGAAGGTTTGAGAAACCCAAATAGCTCTGGCCGTGGTGGCCGGCGGAACACGCCAACGGCGGTTAAATACAAAAAAAAGCACTTGAATTAAAATTATCTTGAATTAAATTCGGACCCCTCAGTTTTCATCACATCAATCCACATGGGGACTTTTTGGCTCCAATGGGCCCCTTATGTTAGGCCAAGCTCAGCACGACAGGGAACTTCTGGTCATTTTCTGCCTCCGCAGGGTCAAGTTGTTCATCTACCCCGGGGTTGCTTTATTTTCTCAGAAGGTCTGAAGGCGCACGAACAACATATTCAGCAGATTCAGCTCTTGAAATGCAGCACGTACTGGTCCTAAGTGTCCCTACCAAGTGCACTATATACGGTACTAACACCAGCAAGTGCTAATGAACATGGTTCGCCCTATGAGGACGGCTCAAACCACTTGTGAACTAAATATTATCATGGTAAGACGTACTCAAGGTGGGCCCAGTCTCAACCAATTATTTCTCCGTCGCGTTTGCAACTCCATGGGGCAGCCGTTTGCGTTCCGGCTGCTGTGGCCCCGATTCTGCGTCATTCAGTTTCACAGTCATTGAACATTGAAATCATAGCCATAGGCTGAGGTAGCCAAGTCACACTGTGATGAAAAAGATTGCGCAAGGTTCAACACAGAAATTCAAGCTGAAGAAATCACCGTAATTTGGCATGACCCGTACTGCTGACTCGTCAATTCTCAGAGCTGCGCCATCCATTTCCCGGTATTTACACTGACTTGCTCCCAGCTAGGCAGAAGGATATGGGTCAACACTGTCCACCACAGACTTTGGGGATTTTGGCATGCACCATTTAGGTTTCGCGGTAGCCTTTCTTGATTAGAGGGTAATAATTAATGGTTGTATCCTCCTTTTTGTTGTCGTCAACCCCCCATTTTTGATGCTCAGATTTGGGGGTGCCTAGCGTTGACCCATACTTAGAAGATCTTCTACAGCATGCAGTGGTTCTGTTTGCACCACGAATTCTCGTTGAAATTTGTAATACAGCCGCGTCAGGCACACAGCCGGCGACGGCCTCAAAGGCACAACTGGGACACTAGGCCCCCGGGGCTGGCGTGATTTGTGCCCTCTCACTTGTCTGTCCATTTGTATATGTTTCATACGCATAGGTAAGTAGATACATATGTGTTTGACATTTGTATATAAATGTGTGTGTTTGCATTACATCTATATGGTTTAAATTTGCATGTATGAGACTCGAGATAATTACAATTACATCGTGTATATATTATATAAATAATTGTAACTGTAAATTATTGTAATTGTAAATATATGGGTAACCTCAGTTGGGTAACTTGCCAAACCAGACTTCCTGACCTCTTCGTAAGAAGTGCAGATTGTCTTTGATCTTGAATAACTAGTTCCGGCTGCAGCATGGCACCAGGATTCGCTTGGCCAGAAGATTGCAGCTGCAAGTATACAGAAGACAACTCGCGTATACTGCAGGATATTCTGAACATTTGATCAAGAAGAATACTCGTAGCGTTAAAGGAAAAAACGCTCAACTCCACGAGAAACACACCCTGATCAATATCTTTCTGCCTGTTCATGCCGTGGACATGACATCATTCACAAAAAAAACATATTCCTTTCAAGGGTAAAACGCCAAGGTTTCAGCCAGGAAAACCTTTATATACTGGGTGCCCCGGCACATCCATTTGCCCTCAGGGCTCTTCATGGTTCTCCCCTCCCGTGACTCCCGTGTATTCATAGTAAACCCGCGGAGTCTCTCGCGGCAACGGGAAGAGGATTCCTCGGATTGGCGAAAAGGAAAATCGAATAAAATCCACACATTCCCTATAGATTGCCCAGTCCCGATGTTCAAACCAAAACTGATATTTTCCTTTCAGGAACCTGAGATTTACCAAAAACGGATGTCATATCGAACAGCACCAAATCACCTTAAGCAAATTTAATGTTTACCTCAAGAAGGTAGAGTTATCCCAAAAAATAGCATTCTCACTTCTCACTTGACAGGAAAACTAGAGAAAGCACTTGCGAAACCGATCCAAGCCTCTGGTTGACGCCCCTGAAATTCCGAATGCTTTGTTCGGGCTGGCACCATCAGACTCCGATCCCGAAGCCATCTCCAAATCCTGGGGATTTGGATGGCTGTAGGGCTCAGTCACATCCCATGACCAGGTTCAATCAGAAACATGATGTGAAATCAGTGGAACCATGGACCATGGCATTTTTGGGGTACGCATGGGCCTCCACGGTGATTCGACTCAATACTGAAGCAGAGCTTGTGCCGGCGCTGTTGGGTTTGCTGGGGAAGGGATCGACTATGGACCATCGAATCGAGGACCTACATGTGCAATTTTCATCTTAAACGCCCATATGCATGTAGACAGAGATATAGATATAAATATAGGTATAGATATAGATACAGATATAGATAAAATGCAGACATCAAATATCAGATGTATGTATGTATGTATGTATGTATGTATGTATGTATGTATGTATGTATGTATGTATGTATGTATGTATGTATGTATGTATGTATGTATGTATGTGTGTCTGTCTGTCTGTCTGTGTGTCTGTCTGCCTGCCTGTATGTAATGTAATGTAATGTACTGTAATGTAATGTAATGTAATGTACATGTAATGTAATGTAATGAACATGTAATGTAATGTAACGCAATGCAACGTAATGTAATGTAATGTATGTATGCAATGTAATGTAATGTAATGTAAATGTAAATGTAAATGTAAATGTAATGTATGTATGTATAATATTGTAGAAGACGTTGAAAAAATGAAGACGTGCCAACCTGGACAACTCGGCAAAACAACAACCATCACCAGCATCTCCTAACGACATCTCCCATCCTGCGGTGGTGAAAGCTTCGCTTGCATCTCCTGCTGCTCCCTCTGAAGCCGCTCTAACCAGCCTTGGTACCTGGGGAGCCGTTACTTCATAGCAATTTTGATGTGTAAATCCCTGAACTAAATGTGCATTTCAATGGAATCTTCATCCATGAATTTACTATAAGTGGGGGTTGTCCATTACCATGTTTCATCACCAAAGGGTATCATCGAAGGAAGTTTAGAAGTCAAACTTCCGACAATATGGACAGATGAAAAGCAGAGCAGGGCAGAGGCAGAGAGAAGAGAAAGATTAGAAGAGAGAAGATCGGAAGAGAAAGAGTCAGAAGAAAGAAGCAGATGCGCGAAAAGGTAGGAAAGTCGCGAAACACTGCGTTTTTCCAATGATTTGTGGCTCCGGAGGGTCGAAAAGTAGGCTCACTAAAGCGGCGGGTGCGGAGCCAGCTGGCCAGATGAGAGATGAAAATTTGCACGCCGTTGTGGCGCGAAGCACATTTTGAAGTCAAAATGTACAAAACACCTCAGTGTCGGACGACTTTTGGAAGTTGAGATGTCGAAAAAGTGCACGCCGTTGTGGCGCGAAGCACATTTTGAAGTCAAAATGTACAAAACACCTCAGTGTCGGACGACTTTTGGAAGCTGAGATGTCGAAAAAGTGCACGCCGTTGTGGCGCGAAGCACATTTTGAAGTCAAAATGTACAAAACACCTCAGTGTCGGACGGCTTTTGGAAGTTGAGATGTCGAAAAAGTGCACGCCGTTGTGGCGCGAAGCACATTTCCAAGTCAAAATGTACAAAACACCACATGTTCGCGCCACTTTTGGAGGTTCGGATGTTGAAAAAGTGCACGCCTTTCTGGCGCGAAGCACACTTCCAAGTCAAAATGTACAAAACACCACATGTTCGCGCCACTTTTGGAGGTTCGGATGTTGAAAAAGTGCACGCCGTTGTGGCGCGAAGCACATTTCGAAGTGAAAATGTACAAAACACTAGGGGTTCGGACCACTTTTGGAGGTTCAGATGTCGCTTCGCCGCTTCTCTTCACTGCACTACACTACGTTACATTACACCCCACTCCACTATACGACACTACATTACACTACACTACACTCCACAACACTACAACTACAACTACACAACTAGACTACACTCCACTACACTCCACTACATTAAAGTTCACTACACTACATTACACTACACTACGCTCCACTACACTACACTACATTAAATTACACTACACTCCACTACACTACATTACACTACACTACGCTCCACAACACTACAACTACAACTACACTCCACTACACTCCACTACACTCCAC